ATAAGACAGTCTTAAGATTAAATTTATTTTCTCTATAATTATTACAAACACACAGACTGAAATATATTAAAAAATCCCACATATATGATTAGTATTTCTGTATTTCCATATGAGTTCAATAGAAGTAGCTTGACAAATGGTCCTCAGATTAGATTATAAACCACTAGTTGAGAAAATTTATAATCTAACACTACTTAAAAGAGTGTTTTCTCAGTGGCATAGCTTTGTGTTATAGTAATACCTTTTATGAATCATTTAATAATAAAATATCTGCTAAAAATAATTTATGTAATTTCATAATTTCCTTTTACAAAGCCCATCAAGAATTCTCTTTGATCCATGCACAGGTCATGAGAATCTTCCAAAGCAATGGATTGGGGCACCTATTCACATGTCTAAAGCCAAAGAAGACTGCATCTACTCAGGCCCTAGCCTCACCAAGTCTTCCCATAACTCCTGCTTGTTCTGCAGTTTCATTCCCCAGTAACCAGGAGCAACTCCTAAATCATTTCGGACTACTCCATGTTTCCCACCTGCGACAAAGACACTCCTTCTGGTCACCATGACAACCACACCAGCAACACAAACACTTGGATTTCTGCAGAAAAAATGAAAAACTCTGAAAGAAAGCCAGGAGATAAAGGCTTGCTTCCCACTGGTAGGAAGTAATTACAAAAATTACGTTAACACAGAGCTACTGGTGAATGAATAGCTTGTAATGTGAGGAGAAAACTTGACGGGCCTAGAGACTCAATACAAAATATGGAAAGCTTAAGGTTGCCAAGTAAACACCCCTCACCCAGGGACTACCTAGAGTAAACTTCAGCATGGCAGGTTGAGCAGCTGGGTAGGGTGTTCGTTTGCTTGTTTGTTTCATCTGAGTTTGGACAAATGGTTGAATAGTGGAGGTACATTTTGAATTCATATCATTATTAATTTCAATCTCATAGAGTCACACAGAAAATCGGTTTGTACAGACTACAGACATCAAAAAATGAATAATTCTCCAATCAGAAAGAAGTAAATCAAACTCTCCCACAGATGCAGAGAATGGGATGATATAAAGATTGTGATGATGTAAAGAAGCTTCTCTATCACGAGCATGCCAAGCTTATGTTTGTCACTAGCTAGAGGGATAGCACTCAACCCTGACAGGTACAGGAAGTGCTATAGTTTACCCAAACTGCCAACTCTGCACTGACCATAATTCACAGTGACAAATGAATGCAAGTCTCAAACTGTGTGTATGTCTAGCACGTGGTACTTGTCTATGCATCTGGGGCCAGAGATCAGCTTTGGGTATTTTCCACTATTGCTCTCCATCTCAATTTTTGACACAGGGTTTTCTCACTGAACCTAGACCTGGCCATTTTGAATGGACATGCTGGCCAGTTGAGTACCCAAGATCCACCTGTCTTCATTTCACCAGCGTAGGTAAAATGTCCCATTAAGTAATTATGAGAATATGTATTGCATATTTGTAGCAAAGCTTAAGTCTAATTGAAGATGTTTTATACAGGTTTAAACATGGGCAATAAGGGAGTGAGAATGGGTAATTAGCAAAGTGCAGGGCTATGAAGACACAGCTGCTGTTGCCTCCAGTGACTGTCAATCACAACGGCAATTGTAAAATGTCCTCAGTTTCCAATGGATCTTCAAAGTTATGGTCAAATTATCCCCTGTCATCTTCACCAAGGCTTATTCTACTCACATTCATGTGCCCTAATTCAGGGATTTCTAAGGTCTCAAATTAGAATTCTGAGATATGTCAGACCCTTGACTCTCTTCCTTTTTCCAACCCACAAAGATATGCTCTATCACAAACACCTCTCATTTTCACTCCAGTCTCCACCTGCATCTGGCACTGTGTCTCCATTACATACTTGTTCTCTTGTTACATATCACTACTGTCCAGGTTGTAATCTATTTTAATTTAAAACCATTACAAAACCTCCAACTCAGACATTTGGCACATCTGAGCGGCTCAACTTCAAAAGGCTTCAAAAAGTAACCAAACAATGACTGGGATAAACAGAAAAAAGGATGAAATGTTTCTACAGGCTGTACTCATAAGCTCTGCAGGGTAAACACGTGTGAACCAATACTTTCCCCCCTGGTAACTTGGTGTCAGAAAAATGACAAAGACATGCTCCTCAAATCTGTTTCTTCCTAGTTACACCTTAACTTCGCTATTGTATTTCTCTTATTGCAACTCGTTGACACATCTTCTAAAATGGACTCCTGATTGGATCCGAAAAAGCATTATTTTATATAGGACTTTAGTATTCGTTTATAAATCAATATATTTTCCTAATTCAGTATATCTTTAATTGATGAAATATGTTACAAAATATATTCATTCTTTATACTTAGACTGTACTTCATCTATAAAAAATACTAAGGCCCTCGTACTTTGACTACAAGAGAATTGGGAGGCTATAGTTTTAGTGTTTACATTTATGAATCTGAACTCTTCTTGTGCTAGGAAAAAAAAAGTTAAATTTTTGATACAAATAGTTAAATATTCTTTAAAACAAGTGTCCCATGTCTGAGCCACACCTCTACCTTATTTCCAGTCTACTAAACTGTGTGGGAATTGTTCTAATGCTTTGTCTTATTTTGTCTCCCAAAAAGCAACGCTTCCAGACCTCAGGGTTCTGCCATATTCCCACTGGCTGGGCAGGGAGATGGGGTGGGACTTTTAGATTCCATAGCTGAGGGGCCAGAAGAGAGAGGAGAGACAGAGAATTGTCATAACAGGAAAGGAGAAAGATGAAATTTAAAGGCCTGCTGGCAGGTAAGGATACAGGAAAATGGCTCTACAGGCCAATTCCCTGGTTGGATCTGGGGTAGCAGATTAACATAAGAATACCAGAGGGAAATATTTGCTAGCCAGAAGGAATACTAGAAATGCCCAACTAATGAGCAAGTCAAGGCATATCAAAATTAGTTGATGCATCTGTATATCTTTACTTAGCAAATACGAAGAGCTCTTGGGTGGGTACAAGTGTGTTACCCACCAGGAACCAAAGTGGTTTAACTAATTCACTACTACAGATGGTATGCAATGTGGCAGGCAAGAACTCACTATTAAAAATTATTTAGAGATTCTTGGGTGGAACACACACATGCCATGATATAAGAGTAGGAGAAGTAGAGAATTGTCTTCTTAATAGACTACAGATTTTGCCCAATCCACATGGAGATTTCTTCCCATGGTTCACTAGTACAAAGAGTTTGGCCCCAGAGATGCTGAGAGCCCATGCTGTGCAAAGAGAAGGGTTGGCTGCACAGAGGAAGGCAGAGAGAGGCAGACAATAGATTGCCTGCCTCCTACAACCAGATAAAGGATAGAGATATATAAAATTTGATTTAATTGATTTAAGGATAGAATGGAGTATACTGATGATTGTTTAAATGTCCTTAAGTATATATAAATGAATAAATATTTTGAGGCTTTTGATTGTAAATTATAGGTCAAAGAACAGGGGGTAAATAGGAAAAAAAACATACCTCAGACAGAAAATAGAAGCTTAAGTCAATTCAAGTTATCTAAAGGGACATATGTTCCCACAGATTAATTTCTATAGAAGGGAGAGGATACGACTATACTTAGATGAATAAATAATTGAGGCTTTTGATCTTAAGTTATAGGTTGAAAAGCAGGGGACAGGCAGCCTAACCTATCTCAGACAGAAGAAACATAGGCCTGATCTCACTATTAAAGATTAATCTTGTAAGAACAAAACAGGAGATTGTGGAGGAGCACTATCGCATCATATAATATTTCCCTATATTGCCTTCATTGCTTTGAGTTGTTTTAATTACTGAAATAAAGATGATTATATGTTTGGTGATATTTATGATTTTAAAATTCCTCTGGGAGAGAGGTCAAGTTATATCTTTAATGATTTCCAGTTACTGGACCAAGAACATGCCATTTTGGGAGAGAGGCTCTATATTTGTGGTGATAAAAAAGGAAGAAAAGACTATGGACCCCTTCCAGAGTGATATGGATCAGATATAACAGGAGAAGACCCCCTGAAAATCTTGGCTACAGAAAAGAAATACTCGAAGAAAATCAAACAGGACAGGCAACTTGATTAGCCGATTCCTTGACATGGAAGAGCCCAATAACTAGATTAGACATAAAAATGTCTCTAGACAAAACTTCAGCAAAAATTAGACAATAAATCTTGTTTGTTGTGGAATCCTTACAATTCATTGTGCCATCCTTGACATGGCATGAATGAAGACTTATAACAATTGGTAATTGATAAAATTAACTCATAAAAAGGACAGTTGTCTTTCACCTGCTCGATCAAGGGGCAAAACTCCATCCTTAACTGATCTGTGCATCTTACAAAACCCATACAAATATTTTAATTACAGTATTAAAATTTTGGTTTTGAGATTCATATATTACAGAATGCAACTATTACAGCAATGGAATGAATGGGCACTAATATTTATAGAAATTGATACTCTATCTAGAGAAATGTAATGGAGTGATCAGGTACAGCTTGTAGAATCCTTTCTTGTTTGGAAAAGATATAAGTTAAATTCTTCTGTTGATATCAGCTTGTGCCCAGGCTTCACTATACCAAACAAAATTAGAAAAACTTCAGTTGTAATAACTTTTACATTTCCAATCCATTTAAAATAAAATCCTACAGAATTTAACTTATATCTCCCTCAAACAAAAAAGATTGTCTGTCTGTTTATCTGTCTATTCTGTGCCAAATAGACTTTAAACAAGGCTCAATGATTATAGATTTAAGGGATGATAAAAACAACTCATAAATAAATTGATAAAATCAATCAAAAGAACTTTATTGGCATGCACTCTTATGAAATTTGGAAGTTGAATGGATGTTTAATCATCAAGTTTTTCTTTCCTTTTAAATGTTGGAGGTATATCAGGAATTATTATATTGCAATATACTTCATGATTTATTTAAAAGTTGTCCTGTAAAACTATGGTTAGTTAAGGTGCCTACCCCTGTAGTAGACATCTTCAGATACAACTCTAGGAGCCTGCTCCACTGCTGATCTCTTGTAGACAACGTGAATCCTTCCTTTTTCTTCATCCATCTGCTTCCCTCTCTCCAAAGGTTCAATGAAATACTCTTCATTATCGCTCTTTATCATTCCAGCCTAAAGAAAGCATAAAATGTGTTCATTTTAATCATCATTTTCAATTCACAAGTACATCCTTTTAAATGACAAGGATGTAAATCATGAGAATCATTTTTCTGTTTGATTACAAATTAAAAGCAGGTAAATTATACTAGGCATTCTTATTAATGTGGGGGCTGATGAGATAGCTCAGCAGTTAAGGATGTTTATTGATCTTCTGCAGAGTGCCCAGGTTTGGTCTCAGTTGCCACATGGTGGTTGACAACTCCTTGAAACTCCAGTTCCAGGGGGCTGAATGTCATATTCTGGTGTTAAAGGGCATGTGCACACATATATTGTACAAATATATACGTCCAGGCACACTTAGTTACACACACACAAATTAAAAAAAAAATATGCCAGGAATGAAAAATCCATAAGAGGTAGAAAATACCAAGTTTAAGCAGGGTAAAAATAAAATCACATGACACACCCATTTCACCAGAGTTCCAAAAAGGGTATATTCTATTTGGTATTTCTTAGCAAAAGAAACTTATATGACACAGGAACTCAAAATATTCCCTGATTTTCCCTGATGACAGTGTAGATCCTATATGAAACGTGCTGTATTACATTTGCAACTCATTTTCATCTCCCACATAGTTGTTACTGTGTGACAGATGTAGGGATACCACATCCCATCTTTATCCTTAACAGGCTTTGCTGGAAATTCCCTACTTCTAACATTTGTTACCCTGGAGAACTCACACATATTCATGGCTAAAATGTCCAGTTTCTCATTAATAACATCTATTGGAAGCAGAAAGCATTGTTAACTAGCCTTAATCTTACACAACATTAATCTATTGTACTGTGTATATATATGTGTACATATATACAACATATATGTATATAAATACACACACACACACACACATTTCTGAGTTGAAGTTCCATTGTTCACCTTAGTCTTTGATTTGCTTCCAATCCATTAAATCACCAAATCTTGTAGTTTTGTTTAATATATACTTTTTTTTTTTTACAATCCCAGACATGTACAGAGTACATTCTGATTACAAAACTCCTCACCTAACTGGACATGGTAGTTGTAGATGGCTTTAGTTCCAGCACTGAGGAGGCAAAGGCTGATAGAATTTTGTGAGTTTGAGGCCATCCTCAAGAACATCCAGGGCTACAGAGATCCTGTTTCAAAACAACAGCAATTCAAATCTTACCTTCTCTAGTCTACTTCTTACCTAAATCCCTTCCCCCCCCCATTTATAAGTCCTACATCCTTGTGTCTCTTTTTCTTTTCTTTCTTTTGAGGCCCATTAAATTTAACCACCATCATTTGTGTATCCACTGAAGACTGGTGGCCTATTCTGTGGATACACAACTTAAAGGAAATGGCTGTGCTTTCTCCAGATCCCACTAGTAACTGATAGTTCAGAAGGGAAGAATAGGGATGAGGGAACTCCCTACCCCCAGTTGATGATTAAAGGTCAGTAGGCTCAGTGTTACACAGGGCTACTGTGTGGGACTGCGTAAGGGTACCTTGGTTCATGGCTGGGCATGGGCCTGGAACCCCAAGACTCTAAGTGAGAAATGGCAGGCATTCGGCCACGTCCCCAGAACCCAGGGTCCTGAAAAGCAGTCTAGTCTCCATAGATCTACATTGTTCAGTCACATAGGCCATTATAGCCCCTCCCAAAGTGCACAGGTAGAGGGTGTGACCTCTAGGCCTGAGGCCCTAGGGATTTACATACTAATGAAGGCCAGAGGGCAGAGCAAATTAGGCATACCTCCCCAGGCCCTCCCCTTTTCTCCCTCCCTATTTAACTCAGGACTGCCCTGAGTTTCACGTGGGGGGGGGGTGTACATCCAGATCCATCCACCATCCACCATGACAATAAACCCTTTTGGAATCAAGGACTTTCTTGTGTCATTGGGGCCTGCCCATGCCAAAGCCCCCAGCTTCTGGAACTCCAGATGTTTCTCTTGTATGTGGGAGCCAAAGCATGGAAACCTCCACCCACCCCCCAACCCCCACCCCCGGACACCACCGCTGCAGCCTATCTTTCCCACACTACTGCAAGTCACCATGGCTGCTAAGAGATCAAGGGAGCATTGGCTGTACATGCCTTGGAGACAGCACGTTACAACGCTTCTCCCTGTTGTCTGGCTTTTATATTCCTTCTGATCCTCTCTTCTGGGATGTTTCCTGAGCCTGAGAGGGGGCCGTGCAAGTGTCCTATGTAGCACTGCATGCTTACTTATTTTCAGCACCATCAACAACCAAGTATCTCCATGTTCACTGCAGTTCACGGCAGAGAGGAACAGTCTGCCTTCAAGATCACTTCTGTAGTTGATTTACCTTACAGAAATTACCCCCTTGAGATTGTTCACAGATCCTAATGATTCACGCAGGTAAGTCTGTGACTGAAGGAAGCAGGTAAGGACTGTGAGCACTGAGCAATGACTACTAAGCCACTTGAAAGTAAGAAGGAGGGCAATGACAAGAATTATCCCATTTGGTTTTTTTCTTTTAATATTTCTCTCTATATTATAGCTGAACATTTAAATGGCAGGCACCATGATACTACTTTCCACCAGTAAAGTACAAGTAAAACTCACACTTCAAACTGAACATCTACCTTAGAAAACAAGGTTCATTTAAGTGAGGCTGAGACTGTATAAGTGGCAAGGTGAAAGGCAGAGTCTGAGGTTTAGCTATGATCTGAATGTGTTTTCCATAGACCCTTGCGCCAGAAGTTTCACCACATATAACAATATTGGCAGGTGATTGGGTTTAAGAGGTAAGGCCTAGAAGAAACCAGCTGGGTTGACCACACCACCTTCAGAAGAGACTTCAGAAGAGATCAATGTAGTCCTTGAGGAACCAAGTTAGTTCTGGAGAGAGCAGTGTGTTTCCAAGTGAGGCACCACGTGCTTGGTGCCTTCTGCATTCAGCTGTTTTCCCTTCTGCTTGCCTGCAATGTGGTAACATGTGGGGGACTTTGCCAAGCACAAGGATCCTGTTCTTTGGATTAGGTTCTAGCTGCCAGAATCATGAACTAAATAAATGCTGTTCCTTTATAAAGACTGAGGCGTAGGGATTTGCCATAGCAGCACAATAGAAAGGAAATGCTGGCACACATGACCTCTAATGTGGATGGGTAGAAAATGTGAGTCTAAACTTCCATTAATTTAAATATAATTTAATGGAAACATTATCCTAAAGTACTATTTAAAAAAAAATACCACAGAAAATAGATTGGCAAAGACATGCCTCATCTACCCTCTAGATTCAATCTAGCAAAGCAAAACATACAAGCCTAAAGGGATTCAAGGAAGTTTGTTACCAAAAGTCCAGCAACATGGTTGATGAGCGTGAAATCAAATTAGGATACTTCCCCTTCCATAACCTCACTGAACACAACAAAATAACGTCAGGGACTAACTGCTTTTTAGTTTCTTTTATTTTTTTAGATCACAATATAATTATATCATTTCCCTTTCCTTCCCTACAAATCCATTTATAGGCCCTCCTTTACTCTTTTTCAAATGAACGACCTTTTCATTTCTTGTTGTTACATGCATATATCTATACGTATATGCATACAGAGTCCTCATCCCTCATCAAGAAAACTTCTCTCTGCAGACGAAAACAATTACAGAAAGCCATACCAATCAAAATGTGGCTCAGTAGAGCCCAATGCCAATGGACACATCTACAAAACATACCTTCATCGATGCTTCCATGGAAGAGGAGGCAGAAAAGTTCAAAGAGCCAGAAGATCATGGAGTTTGCCGAAAGATTGTTTCTCCAGATAGTATCAGAGACTTAATGACTTTTAAATACAAATTATCGAATATATTCTTCTGTAGACTTAGCATACATCACAATAAATTACTCATAGCATCTTGATTTCGAGTAGCACAGAGGGCTCTCTAAAACTGCCCTCTAAAATAATCACGTTCTTTTAGACAAATGATGACGGACTACATATGGCCTGACCATGAAAAGGCTCAAAAAAACAGGTGTTTCCTTATGGCAGTTCATGCCTGCCTTGCGGAAGGGGTATGTGCCCCAGAAAGTCACCCTAGGATCTAGATTGATAATCACTCTGACACTCTGGGAGTCTGCCCAATGAGCAATAGAAAACCTTGTCAGGAGTATGCCTTAGTCCCAGTGTTCACTGTTTCTCTACTTCCACACAGGACAGGGTTACACGGATCACAGCCAACTGTGAAGAGAGCCAGAAAACGTAACCTGGCTCTTTGCCCAGGGAACAGAGACAGATTTTGATGAGCAGATGGAGGTGGCAACCTTAGATGAACTAATGTCACTTCTTTGCTTACTTTTTCATTGCTTCCCCTTGCACTTAGAATGACACTTACTACCACAGTCCCAGAGTCCTGCTCTGTCTACGACTCTCCAGGAACCACCTTACTGCTGTCCCGAGGCTCCAGTCAAAGAGGAAATGCTATTACTCTTCGAAAGCCCGTTCTACACATGCACATTGCCTTTTTATATTCTGTTTCATCAAAAAAAAAAAGTTATCTCCTTAAAAGTGATTTTTTTATACCTTCACGGAAATTTGGCGCCCCATCTTCTGACTCATAGCAATATGTTGCTTCTGCTGTTTTTCTCTCTTACGGCTCTTATTACAAGTTATTATGGCTGTGTTATATGCTTGTCACTATTTATTATTCCTTCTCCTCTGCAAGTTTGTCCGCTCCCAAGGCAGCCATGTCTATCTTAATTAGCCTTTTAATCTTTAAGCACTGGCACCACATCTGGCATGCCTTTTGCATTCAGTTTTTATAATGAACAACTATATAAATAAACTCTAGAGATAAAGGCATAAATCATAGTTACAGCTATGTGCTGGAGGCCAAATGCACACAAGAATAACTCCACTTCGTGGGGGGATATTTGGAGGTTTCCGTTCATAATTGCTGTCCCTGTATGCTTAGGTGCATCATCATGGTGGTGGGAGTTTGTGGTGAAGAAGAGTCTGGGTCTTATGGATGAG